CTGACATTTCTTATGCGGTCAATACATTGTGTCAATTCTCTCATGATCCACGCGATCTTCATCTCACGGCGGCTCACAAAGTTCTCCGTTATTTGAAAGGCACAGTTGGTCAAGGGCTCTTTTATGCTGCAGACCAAAACTTTGATCTCAGGGGATTCTCCGACTCTGATTGGGCATCCTGCATTGATACTCGACGTTCTGTCACAGGCTACTGCATGTTCATAGGTGATTCATTGGTGTCTTGGAAGTCAAAGAAACAGAACACTATCTCCTGTAGCACTGCAGAGGCTGAATTTCGTGCCATGGCTTTGGCCACCAAAGAGCTCATTTGGTTGTCTCGCCTGCTAGTTGATTTGAAAGTTCCGTTTACCCCACCTGCTTATCTCTATGGTGATAACACAGCTGCACTTCATATTGCTAATAATTCTGTGTTTCACGAGCGTACTAAGCATGTGGAACTGGATTGTTACAAGACTCGCGAAGCCATTGATGAAGGGTTTCTGAAAACCATGTATGTGAAGACCGGAAACCAATTGGCTGATACTCTTACCAAAGCTTTACACCCTGCTACATTTCATGATCTTATACGCAAGATGGGAGTTGTTAATATCTTTACACCTCCATCTTGAAGGGGGCTATTAGAGTGTAGTTTGTATATAACTCATACTTAGTCATATACGTGTGAATATTAGGATCGGTAAGGGCTCTGGAATTGTCCGGTTTATATCTATTTAACTTCGGTATAGATTCGGTTAGTTTAGTGAGTATGTATATAAAGTCATGTAACAAACTCTTGATTCATTAATGAGAATATCTGAATTTTATAAACAACTTCTCTCTCGATGATGAACACTAATACGGATACACATGACTGTGCGAAGCGAACGCTAAAAAGAAAGCGCGAATGGCGGAAATCGACGGAAACCTCAGTTCGATTTTAACGGCGATTCAACAACAAGCGAGCTTACCTCCAAGCTCAAATGGTGGATCTAGACCGATCGAAATACCAGAGACATCACGGAACAGAAATCAGGTTCATAACTCTAATCTTGGAACAAACCGGAGTGAAATTCCACTAGGTTATCGACCAGGTTACTCCGATTTAGCGAATCGGGAAAGTATGTTGAAAAAGATAGAGATGCCAATGTTCGATGGCTCTGCACCGTATGTTTGGATCGCCGATGTGGAAATTTTTTTCGAAATTGGAAAATATGAGGATGATGCGAAGCTTGATTTGGTTGCGTTGACATTGGTGGGGAAAGTTAAGAAATGGTTTGTTTGGGCAAGAAAGAGACAAGGTTTCCGCAACTGGAGAGACTTCAAAGAGAAATTGCTAATCAGATTTGCAGAATCGTTGGAAGATGAACCGGGTAAAAGATTATACTCGATCAAGCAAACAGGCAGTATAAGTGACTATTTTTCGGAGTTTGAGGATCTTTCAGCTCAGGTAACAGGCGTTGATGACAAAGGTTTGGAAGACATTTTCTACAATGGTCTTTCACCGGAAATGAAAGAGGTCATCAAACTGAAAGAACCAAAAGGACTGGCAAATCACATCGCTGCAGTTTTGAAGATGGAAAGCAGTAATTTCTGCAAAGTGGTAAGTGAGATTGCAAAGAAGGAGAACAGTCAACAGAAATGGGGTTCTACAAGGAGCATATACAACACCAACTTACCAAAATCACAGGCGATGGTCCCATACAAACAAAGACAACAGACTATCGAAACAGGAGATAACAAAGGACAGCAAGGAGGAGATAAAAGTTTTACAAGACTGAGACAGAAATTTTCAGATGCAGAGTTAGACATGAAACGAAGTTTGGGACTTTGTTTCAAGTGTGATGCTAAGTGGTTCAGAGGTCATGACAAGGAATGTCCAAAGAGGGATTTACAAGTCAGAACAGTATTAAACGGATTTGAAGTAGAAGTATTGGACGAGAACCAGTTTGAACTATTAGAAGATGAAGAAACACCAGAGGGAGAACTGACAAATTTATCGTTCAATGCGTTTCTGGGTCTGAATTCTCCAAGAACTACGAAAGTGTTTGGTAAGATTGGAAAGCTAGCTAAAAGCTCTAGCAAATCAGAAATTGTGGCGTCAATGCGGAAAATGCCAACACATGATTGAACTTTCAAAAGGATGTGTCAGCGTAATTTGCAGGTATCATCTCTAATCACATTTATCTCCTTTTGAAATTTTTTTACATATATTATAATTTTATTAAGAAAATACATCATTGCATTTCATGCTAGATGTGGACATAAGTTTTGTTATCGATGTGGAGCCAACGCTGGAAGCTGCCCTCATGGTCATGGCCGTCCACCATTGCCGCCACAGCTGCCATCACCGCCACCACCGCCGCTACCACTGTGGTTTCTATGTGTTGCCGTTTTTGGACTTTGTGGTCCTTTTATAGGTTTAATCGCTTTGGCTGTTATAAGTAGCATGGAATAACAAAATAATTAGCTTGGTAGATTGTTCATGTTGCTGCTAAATAGATGAACGATTTTACGGTTTACCATAAGAAAAAAATGGGGTGGATGCTTGCTTGAACTTTATTTCGCAGCGACGCAGCCTATCTTATTCTTGTTGGTAATGATTAGTTTAATATCATTTACTTAGTTTTTTGTAACACAAAAAAATTTCCTTTAAATAAGTAAATATTAATTATATTGATAATAATGAATATAGACTGAAGTAATAAGAGTGATTTACATTAAAAGGCTCTTTTACAATTTTTTCTTATAAAAAAGGTACTTTCAGTTATTAGAGGATTTTTTCTCTATTTTAAACACTGTTTACACCAAAATAATCCGAAATTGCCCCTATGTTCACAAGAACGGTGGATGCAACTAGTGGATACTGAATTAAACCCCTGATTTTAAAAACAATAATTATTTTTCCTCCTCTGTTTTGTGCTGTATTTTTCTGTATTGTGAAAGATATAAAACAATTTTTTTTTTAGAATGAATTATAATTTTATTTTGTCATTGTTTTAAGACCCATTATGGTATACTTTCTTTATCAAACAAGAATTTTTTAAATAACCTTTATAAAAAAATTTAAAACAACATAACTCTACTTAGATATCCATTCACAAAATACGATGTGGATGATGCATGATGGACATATAACAAGGACACGATTGCATGGATATGTTTTCATTCATATATTCGACGTGTATATATATTTTATATTGTCCACAATATGGACATGATTGTGTGGATATGTTTTCATTGATAGATTCGATATGGATATACATATCATATTATCCATAACCTGTCCACATGATCATGTCCAAATTATGGACAATATAAAATGTATATCCACGTCGAATAAATGAATGAAAACCTATCCACGTAATTGTGTCCATGTTATATGTCCATCATGCATCATCCACATCATATTTTGTGAATGGATATCTAAGTAGATTCTGATTTTTTTTTTGAATTTTTTATAAAGATTATTTGAAAAGTTTCTTGTTTGATAAATAAAGTATAGCATAATGGATCTTAAAACAATGACAAAATAAAATTAGAAATCATTCTAACAAAAAAAAATTGTTTTAAATATTTCACAATACAGAAAAATACAAAACAAAACAAAAGGGAGAAAATAATTACTATTTTTAAAATCTGGGTTTAATTCGGTATCTACAAGTTCATATCGTGAGCACGAGGGACAATTTCGAAATGAAAAATAAAAAAGTCACCTAATAGCTAGAAGTGCCTTATAGTGTAATATGAGTTTGAAAAAGTGTCTTTTAGTGTAATTATCTCAAGTTATAAAGGAGAAATAATGTGTTGTGGTTGAACCCTGAACTTGATAAATTGTGAATTTGGATGATGATTAAATCGTGTACGAAGCACTTTAAAGAGTATTTCGACTATTATTAAAGTCTTGGGTTACAAAAAATCCCTTGTAGGATAAGACCATCAAAGTTTCTCTCTTGTTCTAGACTAAACTACAAGAGATACACAAATAGTTTTTCTATGATTTGTTATTATGTTGTTTTCTAGTTGTAATTTGCAAAAACTTTCTCTTCCTCTTTCCAAAGATTTCTTCCATCTTTTATAAAGCTTTTTGGGATACAAGGAATAGTTGCAATGGTTTAGAATAACCGTAATCCCAACAATTGCAATGCTTAAAGAATAACCATAAACTCAAGAGTTGAAATGTTTGGTATAATAACAATATTCTCAAGAGTTGCAATGGTTCACTTAAGTAACTATTAACACTTAAATCTCCAACATTCCTCTCCCATTTAAATATAGTCATAGATTCACTATATAAACAACATATATACCAAATTCATGCATAAATGAAAATATTGTGACGATTGAATTTTCATCTTAGTGATATTACATATTCCAAATGCCTGAGAATCAGGATGTCCTATGGATTGAATCCTTTTAACTCATTTTGAACACATGAAGATAATACACACATGAATGTCCACAATACTCTAAGTGTTTATACTTGACATTATTATTAGCCATGTGTCTCTATCCTTCATGAACGTATACAAAGCAAAGTCCTAACTTCTTGAAGCGGCAACACTTCACACTCATATAGATATATACTTTTAATCTTGCACCTGCACATTCAATATTCAAAAGATCTATTAAGAAAAAACCTTCATCCTAACCCTTTCTTGCAGGTCCAAGCACTTACTTTAGGATGATATAAACTAGTGCTTCAATCTTTAAATGTAGGCTTTCCACATTGAATTCAGCCTCTAACGTTGTATTAGAGGGGAATTGGGTATCCCAACATTAAAGATTTCAAATGGAATTTAATCCCATCCCTTTAGCTGACTTGGTCACCTAGTCCCTAGGTAATCTTTTTGTCAAGTGATCCGCTAGATTTTGTTGAGACCGAACAAATTCAATGGTAATTATCCCACATACCGCGCTATGTCTAGCGCCCAGGTGTCGCGACTTACCATTATAAACTTGGCTATAAGCCTTAGCCAAAGTAGCCTGACTAACACAATGGATAGAAATAGGTAATATCGGTTTTGGCCACAACGGAATCTCGTAGACTAAGTTTTTTAACCATTCCGCCTCTCTACCAGCGGCTGCTAATGTTACAAATTCTGACTCCATAGAAGAATTTGTAATACAAGTTTGCTTCTTAGAGGCCCATGAAATGACACCTCTCCCAAGCAAGAACACTCAACCACTTGTAGAAGAATAATCGTCTATGTTGGTGATCCAACTTGCATCTGAATAACCTTCTAGGACACCAGTCTTAAGATCATTTTTCCACCTCAAATTAGGAACACCATCTTGTTTCTCCATTTGATCTCTCATTTGCCTGTTGCAGAAGAAGCTGTGTGTGCAGTGTGCTAGTAAAACCTCCCTTATGTTGCTTGAATCTGAAAATAATTGTGAAAGAAAGTTGAAATGTATTAATATAAAGGAAAGGCCCAGATTTCTTTTTAAATGTGCGTTCAGACTGAAGGTTATTGTCTTAATTGCAGAAGAGACTACTTGTGCTAGTGAAGCCGCTGGAGAAGCCAATGGTGGTACTAATGTTTGTGTGGATGCAGAAGGAGTTGCATTTGACCAAAAGATTCCTGGATTTGGAACAATCACGCTTAGCCCATATATACTACTTTTGGCCTAGGAAAGATGCTTGGGAAGAGTTTAAAGCTTTGTTAGATAGCAAGCCTTGTTTCTCTGAGCTTCATCACGTCTTCCTCCTTAACCAAGCAACATAAATCATCAATTTTTGGCAATCAAGTGGTGAAGATTTGTCTTGATTGGTTCTCACCCTAAAAATAACAGTGGGTGGTGTATAACTTGAAACCACAAAATGACAAACTGCAGAAGCTCTATCAGATTTAGGAAAGCATTCCTAAACTATTATGAACCATTCCTAAATATTAGGGAGGTCTTTCCGAATTGAAAATTCAGATCTCAGTTTCAAATTTTTGACAACCTGTAGTTTAGAAATAGTTCCAAAATGATTTATGATGAAAAAATAACAGAATTTCGCCGAAAACTTATAGCTTGAACACAAAAGTTTTCAAAGTTCCCAATTATTTTCCAAAACCTAAACCTTAAAGTTGTTACCTATAGCAAAAATCACGCCTAAAAGAAGCTTTACCTAAATAACCCAGAAATATGACTAGAAAATGCATAATTTCGAGAAATATCTGTGGTGAGAAACTAAACAATCATCAGACAAGTTACAAATCCGGCCATCTTGATTTCAAAACTCCAAAATTTTGTGATTTTCATTTAGATTTTCGGAGAAATGTTTCGAAATCTCCAAATTTTGTGATTTCTATTTAGATTTCCGGAGAATTGTTTGTAGAAGACAAAGAGAGGTAACAAATTACCTTGATTTCTAGATTTTGCTCACTCTGACGACAATTTCTTCAATTAACAAACAAAATTTCGATGATCGAAGAAGGTTTCATATGAAGATTTCCGATGATCGATGAAGGTTTTTGAGAGAGATTTGAGATTTTTCTAGGAGAAGGAAATATTTTGAGAACTAGGGCTGAGTTAATAGCGTTTTTTTTTATGAAGATTTGTCTACCATATTTGTCTGCCCTAAAAAAGAGGGCTGTTTTTGTGAACTTTTAGTTTTTAGGGTCATTTCAGAGAATTTTCCTTTATAAAATAATAGTTTAATAATATTGTAAGAACACTAAATGATGAAATAATAGCTTGACATCAATTTTATCATTTGGCTCTGGTTGTTCGATTTGAAGCCAATAGATGATAAATAATAGCTTTATACCAATTGAATAAATTTAGCATTTATACAAAAAAACACAATCAGCTAAATAGGACTGAAAATGTTAAATTTAGGAAATTAACATTTACAATTTTTTTTGGAGTCGTCTATAATACCCCTAAATGGTTTTATCTTCTTCCTTATTCTTTTTGGCTAAGGCATATTAGTTTGGTAATTCAGTACAATTTAACTAACTATGCCAAAATTGATCATGTTCTTTGTCTAACTCAGTTCTTCAATTGTTATACAATGTAAATACTTCAAAAACAAATGTGAAAAAATCATCATCATATTAAATTAGGAGAATATTACCATTAAATACACTTTTCCTATTACCATTATAGGTACTTAGGTGTTTTGGTGTATTTATCTTATTTTGTTATACTTTTTTACCAATTATACCATTCATTATCATTTACTTTATTTCATTTCAAAAAAAAAATATATATTAAAACGCAGGGGATCTGCTTGACTTCACTCATCTGCTTTCACACACTAAATTGCACGGAACCCACCTTAACTACACTCACATCTACATAATTATGTATATACATACCCAATCATATGGATACATATATAAATATATATGTATCTATATAGTTACATCTATCTATGTTATATACATGTGGATATGCATAATATATATCTATATAGTTGTGTCTATATGTACACAACTATACGGATACATATGTAAATATCCATATACTGGGTCTATATAGTTACATCTATCTACACTAAATCACATGGGATCCACCTTAACTTTACTCACATCTATATAATTATGTATAGTTACATCCTGCTATATACATGCGGATATGCATATATATATATATATATATATATCTATATAGTTGTATATATATATATATATCCACCTGTACATAGTATAGATAGATGTAACTATATAGATAAACGTGCTATAGTATAGATAGATGTAACTATATAGACCAACCACCTATCCGCTTTAAAGATCGATTGAGAACCTTATAGAATAAATATCTACTATTTTGAATGTATTTCTATATATGTGTTCCATGTATTCTGCATGTAGTTCTATATGTATTCCATGTATTCTGCAAGTACTTTATATTAAAAATATCCACCAAAAATTGGAGAGAAACAATCAACTTACAACATAAAACGTGGAAACTAACTTAATAAGATATAATTTATTTTTGGTGAGTAGATAATTTTTCTAAGCAATTTTGTATACCTTCTTTTTAGGTAGTTATCATAGATAATCAAATTTGAAAATATTTTAAAATAAATGCAAATAATAAAAATTACATGCACATAATTTCTGTTCATTTAATGCTTAGTTATTTTAGACTGAAAAATTAGAAAACAATACAATGAGTATTTAAATAATATTGAAAACACTGTATGCGAGTAAACTTAATTATTTGATTATTAATTTTTTTGTTCAAATATTTAAATTTTAAAAATTAATAACACCTAAATTACTGGCAACAAATCAAGTATCAAAATAATTAATAAGTATATATTATATATTTTATTGTTGGCCAATAATTTGTTTTTTAAAACAAATTCTTGTTTTTATAAGGATATAATACACATTTTAGAGATTATGAACAATAGATTGAAGTTATCATTTGATAACACCGTATTTTGACCACTTTTATGGATCGTTTTGAAATACTTTTTCATGTTTTTAATTGTTTTTAAGTACTTTTATTACGTTTTCTAGTATTTGTAGTTCCAAGACTCTTTTCAAGAAACTTAGGGAAAAACTTAACAAAATGGACAGAAGACCAGATTTCAGCTCAGAGTCAAACCGTCAGAAGTGCACCCCCGATTGAAGGCCTTCTCACCGTCTGATCCAGCTCAAATTTGGAGATCTTGAAGATGGAAGTACCAGCTTTCCAGCACACTTTACAGCTTGGCAATCCAACGGTTCAATCAAAATATACGCAAGAGCAAGATGTCCCGTAAACCAGCCGGCAAGCGTTTCCACCCGCGGCCAACAGGCTATTCCCCGCGGTCACAACCACCGCGACCGCGGCCAGCCACCCATTCCCCACGGTCACAACCATCCCGACCGCGGCCAGCTAACTCCAACTCCGAAGGCCCATTTCTGAAGCCCATATCATTTTCCCAGCCTTGATTCCGGAACCCTAGACCCTAGATATGTCTTGAGCACTATAAATACATGTTTTAGGAACCCTAATTCGTATCACCTGATATGCTCTTATTGTTTTAGAATACTTTTTAAGTTTTAGGTTTTAGGGAGAGAGAGATTTGTCTCTTGAACCCTTGTTCTTTCTTTTTCAGTTTCGGTTTCTATTCTACTTTTTAATACTATGTTTTTGATTTCGTTCATCATGTCTGAGTAGTTTTATTGTTGGGATTAAGGGATTTTCGATGGGGATATATATGTTCGGTGAGGATTCCATTGGCTATTGAGGCGAATCTTAGAATTTTTTCTTCTGAATTCGTTTTTACTGCATGAGAGTAGCGTCATGAACTACAATCTGATCCAGATGCTTGGTGACACGAAAGTGTTCATCCGGTGTCAGATCTAGTTTGGAGAACAAAACAAACATAGGAGTGGAAACCTACCTATGGGCGATTTGTGAATGCTGACGAGTCTTAAACATAATGCACTTCTTCTATTCCAGGGCCAGAGTGGAAACCTACTGGTCAGGGTTGAGAGAGATAGTTGTCTATGATCACAACAGTGGCGTATTCATACGTCTGTGACTCCAGTTCTAAAAGTTTAAGCTAAGATCTTATCAAATTTACTCTCTAGCAATTTTTTGAATCGTTCATACCCCTGAGAAAACTTTCCTGAACCCCAACGCCTCTTTTCTTATAGATTTACACCAATTTTCATTCAAGCTTTAATCTAGTTTCTTTACTCTTTCAATCGATTTTCACTTAGCAATTAGGTCTAGCCATTTTTCTCGTTTTTACCCTTTTTCGTTAAGTTTAGTTATTAGGTCATTTTAATTCCCGTAGTTTCTCTTTAAAATTTGTTTTTACGTTTTAAACACACCACCAAAACCCTCACAAAACTCGTTTGGTTCTAGACTTCCTTACTTTATATTTCTTTTGAAGGCTTTTGCAGGAAAGATCCTCCTTCCCTGTGGATTCGATCCCTAAGTACTACAATCAATCAGCTGTGCACTTGCGGCTATTGATTTCATTTAGGGTAAAACTTGACACCCTCACGACACACTGCATCATCATTACACCAACTTTTCTTTTCCGCAAAACCCTAAGAAACGGTGGGAAATCGACTCTAGAACCCTTTTTCTGCATATTTTCATTTTTCGGTTATTTTGTTTCCATTTCAGAAGATATGGATCCTATAAATCGAAATCCACACTATGAGGAAGGTTTTTACAACACTCCTCAAGCCACCAGACGCAGAGAGAAGCAGAACTTACGCGATATCTACGAAGAAATTCGAAACGAAGACTACAGAACGTTCCAGAACGAGCCATACATACCTCTAATGGCAAACCCTAGACATCCTGTTCGTCGTCTGCCTCACCAAGATGAAAACGTCCAGCTCAGTCACCAATTGAGTCGACTAGAAACGGTGGTCATGCACTTAATCGCCGCTCAAGCCACATCAAGAGCCGCCCTTCACGAGAAAATTGACAACATGTCAACTCACTTTAACAAAAAGCTTGAAGATCTTTCTGCTCAAGTTAAAACCATCGAGACTCAAGCCAACAAGGATGCTGAGACTATCAAGGAGAGGATAGAAGCAGTCAAAGGACGAGTTGGAGAAAACAAAGTTTGCATTCGAAAAGCCAGTGGGAACATCCGCACCTTAGAGGTCAAGCTCGATGAAGCAGAAGAAACTATTAACGACCATAACAACCAAACCTACTCTTACGTGGAAGAAATTTGGGATGGAGTACACAAGGTTCAAGACAAAGCCGAAGAAATCGGCTCAACCGTGGACAAAGTAGTGTGTGCCCTAGATGAAGTTGAAGAGAAGGTCGAAAAGCTTATGAAAGGATGTGAAACGAACGGCTCGACGCTTCCCATCAAAGATCTTGACCTAGAAGAAGAGGAGACAGAGTTGGAGGACCCAAAAACCAGTTTAGATGGCATAAGAGAAGATGAAACAGCTGAACCATCTCGAAGTCCCTCTCCCGCGGTTACGACTCACGCGACCGCGGCCAACAACCCTCCAGCCGCGGTCGTGAGCCTCCTACCCGCAGCAACCCACTCTCCACCCGCGGTCGTGCAGCCTCCACCCGCGGCAAATAGTTGGTCAGATTCGTTTTGGCCCTGTTCTAATCTTACAGGTCAATGTTCATTTGATACATCTGCTGAGACGGTCAAAACTCCTTTTCTTGAGCAAACGGTGTACGCCATCAGCTCCAAAATATCTCAAGAAGAAGATGAGGTACTTCCCTGTAACATAGTCTTAGCATATGAAGATGAATATGAAGGGCAAGATCTCGAGGACGAAGACTATCACCTGTTCATAGAAGGAGGCAATCCAGACAAAATGGTGGAACTAGGAGCACCAATCTCCAGGGAAAGACTCATTGAATTCAACAATTTTGTGAAATTGATCCCTCTTTACACAGGTTTCGATGATATATGGCATCTTGGTTTTTTGCAAGTTTTCTTTAGGTACAGCAAGGAGACAAAAGAGGATATCCAAACCTATTTTGGGAGGGCCAGACGCCTGACTTTTCCCAGAACATCACCTGATGCTGCAATCTATTCAATACACCTTCAAAGACCTGAAGACTGCAGCCACTACACCAACAAAATCAGCAAGGAAAAGCTCAATGAATTCAATGATGTAGT